CCCCCCCCCCCCCCCCGCAAAAAAAAAAAATCAGGATATTTAGGTCTGTGGTATGGGGCTTAAGTTTGTTTAAAATATATTGATTGGAGCTGGGCACTGGTGACTCACACCTGTAATTTTAGCTGCTCAAGAGGCTGAGATCTGAGGATCGAGGTTCAAAACCAGCCTGGGCAGTAAAGTCCATGAGACACTTATCTCCAATTAAACATCAGAAAACCGAAAGTGTCACTGTGCTTAAAGTGGTAGAGCAGTAACTTTGAGCTGAAGAGCTGAGGCACAGCGCCTAGGCTCAGAGTTCTAACCCCACGACCAATAAATAAATAAATTAATAAAAATAAAAATATATGTATATATTGACTGGAATGCTTGAGAAGAAATAGAGTCCTGGTACTTCCTGACTTAATCTATAATTTTTATCATGTTTTAGGAATATAAATTTAGTACCAAATATATAGATGCTAAACTCATCTGGAATCATTTTAGGACTTGATGTGAAGAAACTTTGGGGGAAAATGCTTATTTTTCTAGAAATTCAGATCTTCTCAGGTTGGAGGCTTCCTTAGAAATATTAGACCTCTGGACAGCTGTGGGTTAGGATTAAGCCTCTAGACTGCCTTTGGATAGCCTGGATTACTAGGAAATACCTAAAGCCTTGTTGCTTACATGTTTATTTGCCTTTTTTTCTTGATGTCTGTCCACAGTCTGTGGATGATTTGCTTTGAGTGTCTGATACCATTGAACCTTAGTTGCCCTTGAGGTAAAAAATTAGGTTAATAATCAGCCTTTCTTTCAGTCATGTTGGAGGGATAAAAATTTTTTAAATTGTTTTATTCTAGGCAAACTTTTTAAAGAATGCTATGTGAGTTATTATAGCTAATAATAATATGAACTTCACCTTTTTAAAATCACTCATTCATAAAAACATTAATTAAAACTTCTTTTAAACAAGAATGACCATTGTCTTGACACTTAATATATTTGAACCCTGTTCCTCTGGTTTCTAGGGTGATTGCCATATCCTTCTTAGATTTACTGGGTCAAATGGTTTAAAAGGTTAAATTTTTTCTTGTTTGAATGGAGAGACTATAGTTTTCCCCTTGTGGTTGAGCACGGGCACAATCAGGAAACATGGAATCATGACTCTACTGAGGCCAATAAAACTGCCATTTCTGTTTCCAAGGGCTCATAAAGATTGAATTATTTCTGAAACCTCTGGTCCTGGAGCAGTCCTGAAAACACAAATTGAGGGTATATTGCCTGCTGGGTTGCTGTGAGATGCTTACCATATTTCTCCCTCTCCCTCCCCCACTCTTTCCCTCCATCCCCCATCCCTGTCTTGTATGTCCCTGTGTTTTTGTAAGTTGCTGCATTAGTTCTAGTTTTTCCAGCTTAAGAATCCAAAATGCAGCTCATACTATGGATAAATGGTGTTAACTCCAAAGACTGATTAGGTTTTTATGGTATCCTTTCCTTTATCTACTTTCAATTTTGGAAAAATACCATAACATTTTAAAGAAGATACAGCAGAAAACTGACATGAGTTCTTGTACTTACTCTCAAGCCATATTGTCTATTACAGGTCTTCGTGTGGACTGGCAAGAAAATGATTTTTCGAAGCGTATCTTAAATGTTCCACAGGAGCTATATGAAAAAGGTTATGTGAAGGATGTGGATGATGGACTGCAGGTATGCTGCTAATTCTAGGGAGTGATAGCTTACAACCAGTTATAACCATAAACAGAATTTTTAAGCCTAGTTAATGATACATATCCATATTGGCATGAGAGATGTAAGACCAAGAGGTGTAGTTATGGAATATATAGTGTGAGTAAATGACTAAACAATTTTGTCTTAAAGCAAATTGTTCTTCGGGGCAGATAATTTCTTAGGTGATTAAATCAGTGTTTTAATGACCTTCCTTTCTACCACCTTTTTTTATTGTATGAGGGGGGCCAACAAGGAATGCACTTTTTCCCTAATTTGAATTCAGAGCCAAGAAGGAAGGCAGATAAAGGCCAAAATGTTAGCTTTATTATAAAAGAGTTGTTAGTAAAAGTGGCTTAAATGTGTAAAAACAGTGAAATTTACAAGCTGCATGCCAAAGTTAACCGGGCTTCCTCCTTCCCTGATTACTGGTAGTGCTGAGTAACTGGCTTTTCTTCTACAGAGACACAGCATTTATCATTTTGTTTATTATATGGCTAAGAGCTGTTGAAGAACATATATTCTGTGCAGTGGATTGATCTTGTAGAGAAAGAGGATGAGCTATGCATGTTCAAGTTTCTCCTTCCAAACTGACCAGTCAGGGCCTCTGATGTTTGAGTTATACCTCCAACCCTTTTCTCTCTAGTTATTTTTTAACATAGGATTTCTCTTTTGCCCTGGGACAGCCTGGAATGAGATGCTCTTATTCACATTTCCTCCCATAGCTGGGATGACAGATGTCATCACTGTGTGTGGCTTTTTCTATTGAGATGAACTTTAAGAAAATATTATCTTTAGCCAGGTGTCAGTGGCTCACGCCTGTAATCCTAGCTACTCAGCAGGCTGAGATCTGAGGATCATGGTTCAAAGCCAGCCCAGGCAAGAGTCTGTGACACTCTTACTCCAATGAACCACTCAGAAAACCAGAAATGGTGCTGTGGCTCAATTGGTAGAATGCTCGCCTCGAGTTGAAGAACTGAAGGACAGTGCCCAGGCCCAGAGTTCAAGCCTCACGACCGACCAAAAAGAAAAAAGAAAATATTTAAGTACTTTAGTTCATCATGTCAATGAGTATAATGCTTCTTGATTAATGTCATTGCTTTCATCATTCTCCTCCATCTCTCTCAACCCTATCTATCCCCTCATCATGAACACTTATTTTTGGGAGGAGTCCTGGCTTGGAACTATGATCTTTCTGATCTCAGCCTCTCATGTAGCTAACATGGCAAGCATATGCCATTGTGCCCAGCATTACATTTTTTTTTTTTTTTGCTGAGACTTACATGGAACCTCAGTCTTTCTAATTTCAGCCTCCTGAAGAGTTAGGATTACAAGTATGATCTGCCATGTCTAGCTATGATAGTTTTCTTTTTCTTTTCTTTCTTTTGTTCTTTTGGCTAGTCCTTGGGCTTCAGCTCAGGACCGGGGCACTGTCCCTGAGCTTCTTTTGCTCAAGGCTAGCATTCTACCACTAGAGCCATAATGCCATTTTCAGCTTTTTTCTTTTTTCTTTTTTTTTGTCGGTTGTGGGGCTTGAACTCTGGGCCTGAGCGCTGTCCCTCAGCTCTTCAGCTCAAGGTTAATGCTCTAACACTTGAGCTACAGTGCACTTCTGGTTTTTCTGGTGGTTTATTGGAGATAAGAGTTTCACGGATTTTCCTGCCTGGCTGGCTTTGAACTGTGATCCTCAGATCTCAGCCTCCTGAGTAGCTAGGAATACAGGCATGCTGGCTAGCTTTTTTTCTTTTTTATGTGGTACTGAGGAATCGAACCCAGGACTTTATGCATGCTAGGCAAACACTCTACCACTCAGCTACATTCCCAGCCCTATTACAGCTTTCTTAAAGGGAGAACATGCCAGTCCTACTAATTAATACAACTTCATTTTTTTCTCTTCTTTCTTGAAGGCAGCAGAAGAAGTTGGATATCCAGTAATGATCAAGGCCTCAGAAGGAGGAGGAGGAAAGGGAATCAGAAAAGTCAACAATGCAGATGACTTTCCTAATCTCTTCAGACAGGTAGAATGCAAGTTGTTTTTGTTTATTTGAACCAACATATTGTAGAGATGTGTGATTTAACTCATATTGTGATTTGGATATCCAGAGAATATTTAATTTTTAATTTTGTTTGTATCTACTCTAGGCTTCCTCTAGCTTTCACTTGCTTGTTATTAGCAGGAGGAAAATTTAATAAAATGCTCCATTGAACTCAAGTTTTATTCAGTTAGGTAATTCAGAGAATAAAAAAATATAACACCAAGAATCTTTAAATTCTTTCTATTAACTTTTCATGTGGTGTATTAAGTACCCAAGACAAAATAAGCAGGCTCATCGTTACATGATTGAACCAGGAAGAACAAAAGTCAGGGATTTGGAGCATGGATCAAATGGTAGAGCACTTGCTTGGTAAGTGTGAGACCCTGAAGAAGTGGAAAAGAAAAAATGAAACTTGGTAGAAACTGATCCACAGAAGATTTAATAAACTCTTAAAATAAGATGTATAATAATTATGTTGAATGCATTCAAGGAAATTAATGGCAAGATTGAGAATTTTGGTACAGAAGAAACAAGTGAAAATTCTAAAATTGAAAATGCAGTCACTAAAATTACATCAGTATAAGAGTTTAATAACCAGTGCAATTAAGAAAAGATTTAGTCACTGGAAAAGGGAAGATAATTCAGTCTGAAGCATGAAGAGAGACAGAACAATGGAGAGCAAGCTGAGCTATTCTTTGCAAAGATGACCATGGAAACTCCTCTCATCTCTGTATACCTTCCACTGTACTGTACAGGATAATGATATTCCTTCTCTTCCCGTCAGAAAATAGAATCCCCTTTTCTGCCCTTTGAATTTCAGCTGGCTTTGGACTTGTTTTAACGAATAGGATATGGCAGAAATGGTGCAAGTTGTGAAACATAAACTTCAAGTGGTCATGTAGTTTGTGCCTTTTCCTCAGAATCAGCCCTAACACTACTACATGTAGAACTCCTCACCTACTGTTCAAAGGGTGATAAGATCACCAGCTGAGCCTAGTTCATAGTGCTGATCTGCAGAATTATAAGCAAGTAAAATAGTTGCTGTCCCAAGTCACTACATTTTTGCACATTTGTAGGTGTCTATCAGTAGATAACCAACACAGATATTGATACTTAAAGGTCTGATACTGCCGTAGTGAAAAGAATGTGTCATTGCCTTCAAAACTGGCTCATAAGTAGAGGCCAGAAAAACGGTGAGAGGACTGTGAATGATGGTTGTAGGAATGGTGAGCAAACTGTTAGTAGAAGCTAGAAAAGTAAGAAAATGATTGTTACTAGATTCTGGAAAAAAGACAATTTGAGTCCCATAATGATAGAACAGTTACAAAAAGCGTGTGAGGTAACTTGAAAGACAGAATGTGTTTAATAAAGTCATGAATTTCTACAAAAAAGCTAAAAGTGGGGCTGGGAGGTTGGTTCAGTAGTAGAGTGCTTGCCTCACGTGCATGAGGCCATAGGTTTGATTCTAAAGCACTACATAAACAGAAAAAGCCGGAAGTGGCGCTATGGCTCAAATGGTACAGCGCTAACCTTGAGCTGAGGAGCTGAGGGACAGAACCCAGGCCCAGAGTTAAAGCCCCATGACAGACCAAAAATAAGAACAAAACAAACACACAGCACACACACCAAAAAAAAACTAACAAAGTGTCTATTGAGTGCTTCTAGTTGTTTATGCTAAGGCATTATAACAAGTGAGCTGCAGAAGATACTTTGTAAGCAGAATTTGTAGGAAATATAAAGAAGTTAGAACTTGTGTTTCAAAACATATTCTTTCCACTTTCCTGTTTCTCTTGCTTTCAGAATACTTGCAGAGTAAAAAAATGCCTCAGCTTAGGTCAAGGGCTTGAACAGGGTAGCTCTTACCTGTAATCCCAGGTACATAGGAAGCTGTAAGTAGGAAGGATAAAGTGTGAATCCAGTAAGGCTGAAACTGGAGACTATCTCAAAAAATAACAAGCAAAAAAAAGGCTTATGGTGTGGCTCAAGTAAAGGCCCTAAGTTGAAACCTCAGTACCACTAAAAATGAAAGATAAGCAAATGAATTAAAATAAAGATCAAGTCTAGAGTGCTGGTGAGAAGGACCTCAGAAATGTATGTTATACCTGGTACATTACCTTTTCAATTCTGAAAACATTCTTCTAATAATATTAAGGATGTTTTCTCACAGTACCTTGACATGCACAGTATAGAGAAGTTTAGACAGAAATTCATTATGGAGATGGCTTTAAATTTTCAACCCCACTACGATCCATAGGAAACTCACAAAGTTGTCAAGAGACTTGTATTGATGATTGTACCAAAAGAATTGACACAGAAGTAATTTAAGATGAAACAGGCTATTTTCTGTCATTGTGACAAAATACCTGAGAAACAATTTAAAAGGGGAATTTTACTCATCCATTAGAAAGAATGATTTTATTATATCATTTGCAAAGAAATGGATCGACATGGAAAAATTATGTTAAGTGTGGTAAGTCAGGCCAGAGAGACAAAAGATGCATATTTTCTCTCAGATGTGGAATCTAGAACTAATTTATAAATGTATAAGTAAACATATACATAGTTGTACACAAGTGTACATAGATGATTTAACTGAAGAATTACAGTGTCATTCCTTAGGAAAAACTGACAGTCCAATAGAAAGAATATCAAGAAACTAGGGGAGTGCTTAGGGGAGGAAGAATAGATGAATGAAGAGGATGTGGGGGAGAATGCAGGTAGAATATTCAGTGCATATCCTATGAAACTAAGAAAATTGAAGGGAGGGCTGAGTTAGGAGGGATGGGAGAGAACGTTGAAGTGGGTCACAACAATCAAGATGCATTGTACCTATATACTGATTTGTTGGATGGTAATTCCTTTGTATAAGTAAAAGGTAATAAAATATAATTTAAAAAAGTGGAAAGATCTATTTTGTCTCACAGTTTCAAAGATCTCAGTTAATGGTTGTTTGGTCCAGTGACTTTTGGGCCTACAGTAAGGGAGTTCATCATGGCAGAAACATTGTAGCAGAGGAAAGCTACTCACCTCAAGGAGCCAGGAAGCAAAGAGAGCACAGGGGGTAAGCTTTATCTTTCAAGTATGTTTTCCTAGTGACCTACAGCCTCCAATAAGGTCCTTATTTTCTAGTTTCTGTCATCTCCCAATGGTCCATTCAGTTATGGATTGATAGTAATTCATTCCATCAGTGAGATTAGAGCTTTCTTGATTCAACCACCCAAAAACCCATGAACATTGTTGCAGTGGGAGTCCATATGTTTAATCCATGGGCCTTTTGGGGGACGTTTTAGATCTATACAATAACAGAGGCCTTTGGGCTTTCAATTTATGGACAGGAAGCAGACTGAGAAAGTTATTGAGCACTAAACATTGGTCATTTCTAATAAAAAGAGATTTTTTAATAGAGTAGGCAAGGTGTGTGTGTATGTGTACACATGTGCGTGTGTGCACCCATGCCTGTGTGTATTTATGCTCTGTGATTAGGAACCCACTTCTAAAGGGTATACTTCTAAAAGGGTATAGAACCATATAAAAAAAATCCATTCCCCTGAGGTAAAATCTCCATATATTCATCTGTATTTTAAAATAGTTGTGTTCTGGTGACCACTGTTTACCTCCCATCCTGTCCTTTTTGAACAGGAGTATCTTTTCTAGTTCTTTCTCCGAATCTCATTGAATGTTGGGGGTATGGGGAAGATAACTTGTCTTTTTAGTTCCCAGGTCTTTGGATCAAGAGAAACTGTACTGAGGAGGAACTATACCTAATCTAATGAATCTTACTTACATCTGGCCATGTGCTATGAGAAAAGTGGATGTCAAGCCTGATGCCATGATTGGATGAGACTTTGGGGTAGGGGAGGGGGGTGAGTCTAATATGCATGTGAGAGGTATGTGAATTATTGTGGCCATAGAGTGGACCATATAGATGGTTTACAGAGCTGGCAGCAATAACTCCTCCTATTCCTGTATGTATATACCCATTTCAATGTGACTTTGCTGTGCTTCCCCTCAAGAGATGGCATTGCTTTCCCCACTGCTTGAATTGTAGCTGGCCTTGTTGCTTGCTTAAACTATGACTAAGTAGCCAAAGTGAAATGTAAATTCTACAGTGTACACTTCAAGACCATCACTTCTGCCCTGGCCTTCTAAGAACATTACTGAAGAAACCTGGTCTAGCATGGAAGGTGAGATGCCACATGCAATAGAAGCAAGCATGTTCTAGTATCGTTCCCTAGACCTCCCAGTCAGCAGCTAGCAGCAAATAGCCAGACATATGAATAGGACAAATCAGCCCTACTCCAGTCACCAGATGTTGATTTGCACATGTATGTGCAAATAATGATGAAATAAACATCATAAACGAAGAGTTTGACCTTACTTTTTACATAGCCAAACAGCTAAAAAAATAAAAAGCATAGAAGACAGATGAGATACAGCGAAATGATTTTACATCATATGCTTTAAGTCTCAGGAGAAGAGAAAGAGAATGAAGCAGAAACAATATTTGAAGAAATAATGAAGCAGAAAGTTTTATTTGAAGAGATGATGGCTAAAGAATTTCCTTGAATGGCTAAAAACATGCCAGGCACTGATTCAAAACCCACTATGAGTGCAAAGCAAGACAAAGAAAACCACATCTAAGCTTGTTATACCTAATTTACCACCTGACCTTCCCCAAACTTGGCTATGAAAGAAAGATATGATTCCAAATCATCTGGAAGAAAAAGTTATTTTCAAAGGAGAAAGAAAATCAACAGTTGAAATCTTGGTAGAAACCCTGGAAATCAGAAAACACATAGGTATCTTTTAATGTGGTGAAAGAAATTACTCACAGTGTGTCTACTCACAGTGGTTTTCAGAATTAAAGGTGGAAGTCCTTTGACTGCTAACACCACAACACACGATGTATTGTGAATCAGGGAAGCATCTAGTTTGGAGCAAGTTATACATTGGCTTGTCTGAAATACATGGCAGTATTTTGCATTGTTGTGGGATTTGTACATGCATATGTGTTGTCAAATATTTTGTTGCTTACCCTTGTTACATACTAGATGTTTTATGTTTTCGTATTAGAGTTAAATAACTAAGAATGTAAAACCTTAAAAATTGACCAGGGCATATACTATATTTTATTCTTATTTTCCTATTGATTAACAGTCCCTCATACTTTCTAGGCATCTGCTTATGGAAATGAAAGCAAGTTATCAGTGTGGATTTGTTTTGTTTCCTTTTCTAAATAGGTTCAAGCTGAAGTTCCTGGATCTCCAATATTTGTAATGAGACTAGCTAAACAGTCTCGTCACCTGGAGGTACAGATCCTAGCAGATCAGTATGGCAATGCCATCTCTTTGTTTGGCCGTGATTGCTCTGTACAGCGCAGGCATCAGAAGATTATCGAAGAAGCACCTGCTGCTATTGCTACCCCAGCAGTATTTGAACATATGGAACAGGTATGTCTTAAATGTTTTGTTATTTTTTCTTTTCATTCAGTTTATATACTAACCTGACAATAACAGTTGCAAGTCATGATTCTGAAATTGATGGTTATTTTATCTTTCTCTTAGAAAGAAAATAATACAAAATGACCTATTATGTGTACTTTAAAGATACTTAGATAAAGTTTTAAGAAAATAATGGATTTGAATAGATTCCTTTGAAGACTTGATGTAGATCAAGCTAGAAAATGGAACTACTTGTTGCAAACCTCAAACAATCAATTAAAAATCACAATATTGCCGGGCGCTGGTGGCTCACGCCTGTAATCCTAGATACTCAGGAGGCTGAGATCTGAGGATCGAGGTTCAAAGCCAGCCCAGGCAGGAAAGACCGTGAGACTCTTATCTCCAATAAACCACTCAGAAAAAGTGGAGGTGGTGGTGTGGCTCAAGTGGTAGAGTGCTAGTCTTGAGCAAAAGATGCTCAGAGACAGTGCCCAGGCCCTTGGTGCAAGCCCTAGTACTGGCAAAAAACAAAAAACAAAACCCACAGTATCTTTATCTCTACTCAAAATAGCACACTGAATTTTTAAATAATTTGTTAACTGCTTTTAGAGCATTGAATGTCCTTTGTATTTTCTGTCTTCTTTATTGTTATAATGAGAGAACTAAATAGGTATGAAAAATTGTGTGTTCCACAAAGTTCCGAACAATTATAGCTGACTCTTTACAAAGTTTGCCAGTCATTGCCCTTAGATGATGTTATCTTCTTCATGATTAAGAACAATCACAAGATTATGTTCTAATTGTAGCCAGTGACAGGGGAAGAGGAAAGACACAGGGCAAGCAGATACAAACATGTCACTTACGTTTTTGTTCCATTAGGTAAAATTCAGTCATGCCTAGCATGACATAAAAGATGTTAGGAGCTGTAGTCATTAGCTAAGTTATTATATATTTGGCAGTATTCAAGAGATTCTTTTCCTAAAAAGATGAAGAAAGATATTGGAGGACATTTAGTAACCTGTGCCTCAGTCTGTCCTTTTGACGTTATTCTTTATCTTAATTCAGACTCAGAAGTTTCTCCAAGGGAAGTAGCCTGAAGTCCTTATTAATTACACAGTTAGTATAGATTCATGATGTACATAAGATCAAGGATCTCTAGAGATCATGGGTGATCTCTAGGTGGTGTACATTCCTTTCTATTACATGTAGTGGGCCAGTGACCTAAATACAAATATTTATTCCTCTTCCTTTCTCATTGAGTATCAGTAAGCAAGGTATTCAGCAGTCATTGGTATATAGCAGTTAACAAAATTTTCTAGGCAGATATTGTGTTTATCGTTTGCTATTTTGTGAAGTAGTACTTCATGTATACCTGGCTGCTCTGGTTTTACTCCTTCAGAGTCCCTTGTCCATTATCCTTTAAGATGCCTGTCTTTACTCCCTGGGAAATTCTTGTTTCAGTTTCTCTGTGAATTGGGCTTTGCACACTATGCCTACTTTGAGGGAACTTTCACAGCACATTTTCTGTTGGTATAGATACAAGTGTTGACCCAGTCATCAATGTCACAGGCTTTTGGTGGATGGGCTGATGGGTTATTTAGAAATATAGTTCCCTCAAAAATATAGTAACTCGGGGCTGGGAAGGTGGCTCAGTGGTAGAGCACTTAACCTTGCATGCATGAGGCCCTGGGTTCGATTCCTCAGCACCACATAAGCAAATAGAAAAAAGCTGGAAGTGGCGCTGTGGCTCAAGTGGTAGAGCGCTGAGGGACAGTGCCCAGGCCCAGAGTTCAGGCCCCACAACCGGACCCCAATAAAAAAAAAATATATATATATATATATATATATATATATATATATATATATATATATATATATAGTAACTCTATGCCTTTTGTTTATACTCAGTTTCAGGTTGGAGTAGCCAAACTCAGCAATTTCTAGATGTAGCAACTTTTCTTTATCAGCTAGGCTTCTGCACTTAGCCTATCTCTGTCTCCTGGATTTAAAGTTATCTAGCTGGGGCCAGCTGAAACTGAATCTGAACTGAAACTTAAATCTGATCTTTGCCGCCAAATTACTTCAGAGTAAGAATTGGATAATTTGTTTTAGAGGCACCAGAACACTTAGATTTTTCAATATTTGAATCATTTTTCTTAGTTTTGTTATATATGGTCAACACTCAAGAAGTATAGGAAATAATTCACTATGTGTTATATCATGCTTCAACAAGGAGACCAAATATATAGTAACTGCTTGCACTGTATGCTTGCTACCCATCCCCCATTTGTAATCCACTTCATATATTTTAATTTTTTAAAACAGCTGCACATCCTGCCTGTAGTCACTAATGTCTATATTAAATAAGGTATTGTTAAAGCTTCTATCATAAGATCTAAGGGCTGGGAGTGTGGCTTGACAGGTAGAATACATTCCTAACAAGTGGAAGGCATTAGATCCAAAATTCTAGTAGTGCCAAAAAAAAAAAAAAAGAAGATAAAAAGATCCAAAAAGCATAGTAACCCAAATAAGAAAGGAATTATTTTTATTTGCAATGATAGTGTGAGCCCAATTTTATTTGGCTTGATGAGAGAGTTGTATTCCATGAAACTGTCTTGGGGTTGAAGTTCTTTCTTATTTTGCTTTGTTACTCTTACTGTGTTCTCATCTCCATGATTGAAATGTCTTGCTCTGCCACAACCATGTCCCAACGAATAAGAAGGGAAAAGCCAGGAAGAAGATAAGCAATTATTTGTTTCAGAATTGAATTTATAAGTTAGGTATATTATCACTCATTGGTGTTAACCATCATTCTGATGATTAAATCATACTAACTGTAAGAGGTATTAGAAAATCCAGTTAATAGCTTGATAGAAATGTTTTTGAAAATTGGAGAGGGGTGGGAAGCATACTGAATACTAGAAACCATTGGGTAATCTCTAGGTTGTTACATTTTATTTTTGCCTATATTCCTTATGTTGTTTGATGAGGTAAAGTTGCTTGTGATCCGATAAGAGATGAGTTTGTCATCCATGTCCCAGGATATTGCATAACAATAAAGGGTGAAATTTGCTGTCATGTAACCAAAAATCTTTGATAGCTCTTCCAAACTCTGGATAGTTGAGCCAGGGAGATTGTAGGTCATTGCAGTGATTGAGTAGCTGGATAAGGTAATATATTTGCTTGTCTTCCAAGTGTGCAGTGAAACTTGCCAAAATGGTTGGTTATGTGAGTGCTGGAACTGTGGAGTACCTGTATAGCCAGGATGGTAGCTTCTACTTTTTGGAACTGAACCCTCGGCTACAGGTGGAACACCCTTGTACAGAGATGGTAGCTGATGTCAATCTCCCTGCAGCACAACTCCAGGTGAGTCACCCTGAGCTGGGCTTCAGTTAGAATATAGAGAAGTTAGGATTGTTAGAGGTGCCAGAAAAACTTGTTTATCCAGTGTCTGATTAAAGAGAAGTGCCTCCTATCTGCATCTCACTTAATGTTCATTTCTCTTTTGCTTATTGTGGGGTTATATGTATAGATTAGTTTTCCTGATAAGGTACAAATAGAAATATTACTGCATTTTCTACTAAGATTCATCTAATATAAGCTCTCATACTTTAGGAAGAAACTGTAGGTCTGGGAATATGGCTTAGTGGTAGAGTGCTTGCCTGGCATGCATGAAGCCCTGGGTTTGATTCCTTAGTACCACATAAACAGAAAAAGCCGAAGTTGCACTGTGGCTCAAGTGGTAGAGCGCTAGCCTTGAGCACAGAGAGGCTCAGGGAACAGAGTCTGGGCCTTGAGTTCAAGCCCCAGAACCTCCTTGCCCTCCCCCCCCCCAAAAAAAAAAAAGAAAGAAAGAAAAGCAAACTTCGTAATTTTGTAACTAACCTCTTCCTGTTTCTAGTATTATTGAAGTAATTTGTCTTTTTGGCAGTCCTGGGACTTAAACTCTGGGCCTGAGTGCTGTCCCTGGGCTCCTTTTGCTCAAGGCTAGTACTCGACAACTTGAGCCACAGCATCACTTCTTGCTTTTCTCTCTTTTTTTTGGTGATTAATTGGAGACGAGAATCTCATGGACTGTTAGGCTGGTCTCGAACTACAGTTCTCAGATCTCAGCCTCCTGAATAGGATTATAGGCATGAGCCACTGGAGGCCCAGCTGTAGTTCAGTAATTTTTATTAGTGGTGTCCTAAAAGGTTTTTCTTTTTATAATGCATAATGTGATAACTATCAGTATTGTTGCCTTCTCTGAGCCCATGAAGCAACTTTTACAGGAAGCAGTAGTAGCTAATGATAAGGTTTGATATTAGTTTTACAGTTTTTCTTTGCTCATCTTGGGAATACCTTGTAGTTAAAGAAAAAGTTTATTTCTTCCAGTGGTTTGTGGGATATTGTTGAGATTTTTTTTTTTTTTTTTTTTTTGCCAGTCATGGGGCTTGAACTCTGGGCCTGGGTGCTGTCCCTCAGCTCTTCAGCTCAAGGCTAGCGTTCTACCACTTGAGCCACAGCACCACTTCTGGCTTTTTTTCTGCATATGTGGTGCTGAGGAATCGAACCCAGGGCCTCATGCATGCAAGGCAAACACTCTACCACTGAGCCACCTTCCCAGCCCTATTGTTGAGATTTTTTAAACTGAACTTGGATTGCTAGTAACATCGACTGTTCTATTGGATAGCTTCATTCTTATCCCTTCATGGAGAAATGACAGCAGAGAGAAACTCAGATCTGTTGCAGTAGGAATTTGAGGACATTCTTATGAGGAGGAAATACTCCAGTGACTTACTTGTGGTTATATATTGTATTTCAAGTTAGGTAGGGTTGATGATTGTAAAATACATTTCATAAGATTGGGATGTTTTAGGTTGTGGTTATGAAAAGGAGAAAAACCTCTTAAGGAATCTGATAGCTTCCATGATTTAAGGAAAGTAGCTGTGGTAAATGAATGATATGTGTCTTATTGCCTTTCAGATTGCCATGGGAATCCCTCTATTTAGAATCAAGGATATCCGTATGATGTATGGGGTCTCTCCCTGGGGTGATAGTCCCATTGATTTTGAAAATTCTTCTCATGTTCCTAGTCCAAGAGGCCATGTTATTGCTGCTCGGATCACAAGTGAAAATCCTGATGAGGTAACCCATAAAATTAAAAGGTTTATGCTTTTTTTCCCCTTTCCCTTATGAACAGACTTCTCAAATATATTGGAATTCCCTTTGGAGAGATAAATTTATAGGAGTTTCTTGGTAGGTAAGTGATCATTGTTTCACTGTCCATTTTAGTGTAGAGTCTTCAGTGGGTCTGTAGTACTGAGCCTTCTTTGGCCTTTATGATTTTGTGTGCTATGTCTGCAACTATACATGATTTATACAAAGCCTGTACATAGACTGTATCAATGCTGTCTTGGAAAAATGACATGGTCTCTCATTACTCATTATTTAACAGGGTTTTAAGCCAAGCTCAGGAACAGTTCAGGAGCTAAATTTCCGCAGCAATAAGAATGTTTGGGGTTATTTCAGTGTTGCTGCTGCAGGAGGACTTCATGAATTTGCTGATTCTCAGTTTGGTCATTGCTTTTCCTGGGGAGAAAACAGAGAAGAAGCAATTTCGTAAGTATAATAGCATTTGATTACATTTTGCCAACCAAATTTGTGTTTATCTGTAAAGTATTTGGACATGAGAATGGGAATCATTTACCTTCTATGAAAATGATACCATGGATAACATCTTTGGGAAAAATGTCTTGTACATACTTGCATTAATGTTAACTTATGGAGTATTTGGCCCATGTTTTTCTGTTTGTGCCTGCAGTCTTCACATTTTTCTGCTTGTTGATTTTGTTTTTGTGTTACTGGTGATTGAACCCAGGTTTTGCACTTGCTTGGTAGATACTCTACCATTTGAACTACAGCCCTAGTCCTCAAGTATTTTTTTGATATATTTTTTTTTATAACCCACAGGGTAGTATTTTTATTGGAGAGAGGCAGATTCTTACTATCAAGAGCTTGCTATCAAATAACTCATAGAAATAGAGGTACAGCTGTAGTTTTTGTTTTTGGTATTGGGGGTTGGACCCAGAGCCTCAAGATATAGTTAGAAATATATCGCAACCATTAAGCATTTTTTTATTTGACAAATAAAAATTTTATATATGTGTAAATTGTGAATGGCTACATCAAGCTTTGTGTGTTTGTTCTAGTACTGGGACTTGGACTCTCAGCAGGCATTCTGATTTGGTTTTGTTGCTCAAGGTTGGTGCTCTGCCACTTGAGCCACACCTCCACTTCAGCTTTTTGGAGATGAGAATCTTGTGAACTTTTATGCCCAGTCTGGCTTCAAACTGCAATCTTCAGATCTTATCCTCTGAGTAGTAAAGACTATAGGCATGAACTACCAGTACTTGTCTTAAATCAAGCTCCTTAGGGAGTTGTATTTCTCCACATACTTACCATGTTTTTGTGATAAGTGTACTTTAAATCTACTGTCCTTGCAAATTTCAAGTATATATGTTAATAACTATAGTCCCCATGATATGCTCTTTTAATCATTTAAAGTAATAAAGTTATATTGTTCAGTTTATGAAAAGAGCCATAAAAACATTGTCTACGTTGTACAAATAAGACTTTGGTGTGCTATAATGTATTCAATAGTTGATACTAGCATGCCATTAATGTTAGTTTACATCATATTCATCACAAACACTAAATGTAAAAATAGCAATTTTGATTTCCTGAAAACATAGGGCTTTAGGAAGTAAGTTTGATAGCTTATATATTTTAAAGTATCTGTCCAGAATTGAAAATTGAGCTAGTTATCTTTCTTTTTTGTTTTCTTTTTTTCTTATCTCTTTCTTTCTTGTTTTCTTTCTTTTTTGTGATATGAGTGTTTAAACTCAGGGCCTCACTCAAATGTTAGACATTTGTTCTACCACAAACCTGCACCCCCATCTTTTTTTTTTTTTTTTGGTCAGTCATGGGCTTGAACTCTGGGCTTGGGCGCTGTCCCTGTGCTCTTCAGCTCAAGGCGAGCGCTCTACCACTTGAACCACAGCGCCACTTCCAGTTTTCTAGTGGTGTATTGGAGATAAGAGTCTCACAGACTTTCCTGCCTGGGCTGGCTTTGAACCGGGATCCTTATATCTCAGCCTCCTGAGTAGCTAGGATTACAGGCGTGAGCCACCAGCGCCCGGCCCATCTTTTAATTTTAATTATTATTATTATTATTATTTTTTGGGTCCAGTCGTGGGCCTGAACTCTGGGCCTGGGCGCTGTACCTCAGCTCAGCTCTTCAGCTCAAGGCTAGCACTCTACCACTTGAGCCACAGTGCCACTTCTGGCTTTTTTTTTCTGCTTATGTGGTGCTGAGGAATTGAACCCAGGGCCACTGGCATGCAACGCAAGCGCTCTACCACTGAGCCACCTTCCCAGCCCCTAATTATTTTTTTAATTTGTTGCCTTATGCCATACATTTGATAGCATTCCCTTCACCTTTGAACTGTATATAGTATAAACTAATCAATAAGTATTTATTCTTTGTTTTTAATTACATTTTCAGATGTAGAGAAATCTCAATATTTCTATATCTTTTTTCTTTTTAAGTATTTTATTATCTTTAAGTAGTTGTACAAAGGAGTTGCTATTCAACAAAGCAGTTTATGAGTGCATTGTTTTGATCAGTGTCACCCCTTTTACCATTCTCACCCATCCCTCCTAACCTACTCCTTCCCTTACTTTCTGTTTTGTTCTTTATGTCCTCCATTTGGTTAAAACTGTTATAAATTTTACAAATTTATTGTAGTTCTACCAGAAACCAAACCAAACTTAGCATTGGCACCGTGTTGCCCTTTACTGCCCCATCCTGCTCTGCCAGTAAAGAAATTTCACACTATAGCTTGCAAACTGGTAGCTTTCTGGCCAGTCTCAGCTTGTAAATGTGCTTTAATTAGCTCACAATGGTTTGTTTTTTGTTTGATTGTTTTTAACTTGCTAATATTTAAAAATTGGAGATTGAAAATAATGTAGATTTTTTTCTCTTTGAAAACACAAATAAGCCAAAGCAGAAAACAGATAATAATGGCAAACACTATTGTTTTTTTAATCCATATAGTAAAAGTTAAGTGAAGTTTTATGTAACTCCTTCTTTTAGATGGGATGTGAATGCTGGTGCACATTACCCCCATCCATATACCTCATTTATGTTGTCAGACTGGCCTCTAATGGTATTAGGTTTAAGTCTTGATTAGGCAATACCACTGGTATTTTCTACAGGAATCCTGTGACCTGATTCAGAAGTTTTGCTCCTTACTTCTGCCCTGCCCTGTCCTGTATATTTCTCTATAGAATAAAGCTAACTAGGTTAACTTTTTGAGATGTTAAAAATTATCATTCTTATAATAAAAGTACTTCTAGATAATATGCCCAAAGTTCAGAGCTTTCATTGTTCTATACTTCTTAATATTTTCAACTTGATAGAACCTTATGCTCTGTATTAGTCCCAACCCATATTGTCAAAGTTAAGTGTTATCCATACATAGATCATGATGAAAATACAATGAGAATAGAAACACATCTATTTTGTTACTGGTGTATCCCCTGATACAGCAAACATTCAGGAAATACTTATTGAATGAATTTGCCTAGTCACTCTCTTTAGACCTTTTACTTCAGTTATACTATTCACTGACACAAACTATTTTCTTCTCCATTTTGTTCTTGCTGTTTCCCTCTGTTTGTTTGTTCATTCATTTCACTCAACAAATATTTACTGGTATCTACTATATATTGTTTCTGGTAATATCATTAGGACCAAAATAAGGTCTCTGTTATCTTGGAAATGCATAATCCAAAGGAATAAACACAATGGATGGGAAAGATAAGGAAGAACAATGGAAGGGGTGACATTGGTCATAATATATTTTAATCATAAATATTACTTGTGGAATTGAAACCCCTACTTAACAAAAAACAAAAAATTGGGAAGGTGGCTCAGTGGTAGAGCACTTGCCTTGCATACATGAGGCCCTGGGTTCGATTCCTCAGCACCACATAAGCAAAAAGAAAAAAACCAGAAGTGGCGCTGTGGTTCAAGTGGTAGAGCCTTGAGCTGAAGAGCTGAGGGACAGTGCCCAGGCCCAGAGTTCAGGCTCCACTACTGGACCCCCCCCAAAATTATAATAAAACCCCACAATGTAGTCAGTGTGCTGATGGTGGAATTATAGAAGTGCAGTAAAGCAGCTGAGTCAGTTAACTTGGTCTACACTCAGTCCTGGAAAGCTTCCCAAAATGAAAAAAAAATATACATACATGCACATACATACATATATTTATTATATATATATTTATTTTATATAGTATATATTTTGAATATGATTACTGTGTCTTTGTTTTTTCTTCCTTATAATCCTCTGTATCTTGAACATATAGGTACATAGTAACTAGTGTTGAAGAAAGTGGTTTTTCAGTTCAAGATACACCCTAGACATAAACATAAAAAAATCCCATAGTTAAAATGCAATCATTTAGCTAGGTGCTGGTGGTTCACACCTATAACACTAGTTACTCAGGAGGCTGAGATCTGAGGATAATGGTTCAAAGCTGGCCTGGACAGGAAAGTTCATGAGACTCTTCAGTTAACCACCCCCAAACCAGAAGTAGGACAAAAAAAGCTCAGTTACAAGTGCCCAGGCCCCGAGTTCAAGCCCCAAGACCGACCAAAAAATAACTGTAATAATAATTTGATACTTAATTGGGAAGGAGTGAAAGTAATAAACAAGTCATCTCACAGATGCCTAAAATGTAGCTTAAAGATATTATCCTATGTATTGTCAGGCTGAAACTGTAGGAAACTTATAAATAAAAGTATATTAGAATTTATCAAAACTCATTGAACTCTATACTTTGTGTGTTTTGTTGTATGTTAGTTCTTGTTAACAATAAGTGAATGAATGAATGATGAAAAAAACCTAACAGATGAATGTGGATGGTGGTGTATATATGATTTATTCTATGTTCTGTGTGATGAAATGTTTCTGATTTGTTAATGCTTTTATGGTCCTACCAGAATTTATAAGTATACTTTCTTGCAAATTTTTCTATTTGGAATGCATGTGAATGAGCGTACTTACTATGTGCACCATTATTTGTTCTTAGAACTGCTTTTCTGCCTCCTTGCCTTCCTAAGACTCCAAAGGAATGAAGCCATTCTTTTAAAACGATTGAAAAGCAATAAAACATTCATTGCTGAAACAGGTTGTCTTCTGTTTTTTTTTTTTTCCCATAGAAATATGGTGGTGGCTTTGAAGGAGCTATCTATTCGAGGTGATTTTCGAACAACAGTTGAATATCTGATCAAATTGTTAGAGACTGAAAGCTTTCAATCGAATAGAATTGATACTGGCTGGCTGGACAGACTGATAGCAGAAAAAGTACAGGTATATTTTTCTTGCATAAATAGCCTCTGGGACTAGGTTTTTTGTTTTAATAGGTTTGTGTTGTGATCAGTCCTTTTCCACAGATGAAATTTGATTGTAATGTTAATGTTTTTTTTAATCTATCTAAAATATTAGGGATTCAAAGTGTTTTTACTAGGTGCAGGGGCTTTTGTCTGTAGTCTTAGTTACTTACTTGGATGATTGGAATTGGGAGGATCATGTTTCATGGCCAGCCCAGGCATCTCTGTGAGACCCCTTCTCAACCAATAGCTGAGTAAGGTGGTTTGTGTCTGTCATCCCAGCTACACAGGAAGCTTAGACCATGAGGATTGTGGTTTGGAACAAAAGTTGATACTCTTAAAACTAGTGCAAAAAAGGGCTGGAAGCCTGGTTAGCAGGCATGAGAACTAGGTCAAACTCTAGTACTATTACAGTTCTTGTGCTGGGCTGGTGATTGAGATACATCCGTACATACCTGTGTTATTTACTAACCTACTATGCACAATGAAAGTAATGTGTGTGTACATTTAATTTATAAGTTTCCTACAATTAGGCAACTGGCTGGATACTGTCAGATATCAGCCTGACAGTGTACAGGAGAAATATCTTTAAGCTACCTTTTAGGCATCTGTGAGATGACTTGCTCATTACTTTCATTGAGCGCTCTCTCTCTCTCTCTCTCTCTCTCTCTCTCTCTCTCTCTCTCTCTCACACACACACACACACACACGCACGCACGAATTTTTAGGCATCTGTGAGATGACTTGCTCATTACTTTCAACACACACACACACACACACACACACACGAATTCTTAGGCATCTGTGAGATGACTTGCTCATTACTTTCACTGAGCTCCTACACACACACACACACACACACACAAATTCTTATGTCTGTGTTACACAGTCATGTTCTACTTTAATTTCTCTTTATATGGTGTTCAAGTTACCACCTTCTACATCTGCTAAGTGTTGATGAGAGGGACTTTTTAAAATCTTTCTTTCTTTCTTTCTTTCTTTCTTTCTTTCTTTCTTTCTTTCTTTCTTTCTTTCTTTCTTTCTTTCTTTCTTTCTGTCTGTCTGTCTGTCTGTCTGTCTGTCTGTCTGTCTGTCTGTCTGTCTTTTTTTTGTCGGTCATGGGGTCTGGGCCTGGGCTTGGGTGCTGTCCCTCAGCTCTTCAGCTCAAGGCTAGCTCTCTACCACTTGAGCCACAGCACCATTTCTGGCTTTTTTTCTGCTTATGTAGTGCTGAGGAATTGAACCCAGGGCCTCAAGCATACAAGGCAAGCACTCTACCACTGAGCCACCTTCCCAGCCCCTAAATTGTCATTTCTTATTCTTGAATTGCTGAGCTATTTGAAGTTACTCAAAAATATGTTTCAAAAAAGAAAAAATTGGTTGGGTACTAGTGGCTCAAGCCTGTAACCCTTGCTACTCAGGAGTCTGAGATCCGAGGATCACATTTCAAAACAAGCACTGGAGGAAAGTCTATTTTAAAATAACTTAAGCTTGGTGCTAGTGGCTCACCCCTGTAATCCTAGCTATTCAGGAGATTGAGATCTGAGGATTGTGTTTCAAAGCCAGCTTGGGCAGGAAAGTCTGTGAAACTCTTATCTCCAATAAACCACTAGAAAATCAGAAGTGGCGCTGTAGCTCAAGTGTTAGAGCACTTGCCTGGAGCTGAAGAGCTGAGGGACAGCGCTCAGGCCCAGAGTTCAAGCCCCATGACCGACAAAAAACAAAAACTTAACCTCCAGTAAACCTTGAAAAAAGCCATGCCTTAAGTACAGCACTATCTTTGAGCAAAAAAGCTCAGAGACAACACTCAGGCCCTGAGTTCAAGCCTTAGGACTGGCACAAAATAAGAGAAAAAAAAAAAGAAAAGAATCAATTGACCAAAATTTGGTATAAAATTATTAGATATATCTAAATTGCCAAAGGTCCACATTTTCACTAGATATCAATAGCCAAATCATTGTATACTTTTGAATTTTTTTCTTTTTTTATTGTAAAAAGTGTACAGAGGGGTTACAATAGGGTAGGGTAATGAGTATATTTCCTATCGAACATTGTTACCTCCTCCTTTGTTTTTCCCCTACCACCCCTTCACTTCCCACCTCCCTAACTCCCCCTATGCCCCTTGAATTTTTTTTCTTAAAGTCTGTTTTTGAATTATAGCTATTAGATATAGAATTAGATTATAGTTTTTTAAAACTATGTGGTACCTCTATTTAAATTCTAAAAGTAAATGTGTTTATTTTTATCTCAAAAATAAAAGCAAAGGGTAGAGATTGTTCTAGCTCTCTGTTTCTTCAGAACAAATTTGAGTCTGATTTCACTCCAGGGACCATTATGCCAAGTATCCAGGTTTTTGATCTGTTCTCTTTTTCTTCCTTTCAGGCAGAGCGTCCTGATACAATGTTGGGAGTTGTATGTGGAGCTCTCCATGTGGCAGATGTGAGCTTGAGAAATAGCGTCTCTAACTTCCTTCACTCCTTAGAAAGGTAGTCTTTGTTTGTGGGGATTGTGTAAGCTAACTTATCCTAGGTATATTCTGCAGTTGAAAAAAATTATTAGTTTTTTTTTTTTTTTTTGTCATTTCCCAACAGCTTGCTATTGTTCTTTGTTGTTCACGGACAGTAGTTGCAAGGAAGAGAGAAAATGTCTGGAAATGAGCATAACACAGTTACAACAGGTTGCTTTGTTTTCAGAAACTGTAGTAAATATCTGTCTTGTGCAAATATCTCCAGACCGTGGTGATATGGATCTGATATTTCTCCCTAGCATTAAACCCTAAGTTTAAGCCCTAAAAGTAACTACCTTTTAAGAATTAATAACTGACACGGATATTCAGGATGACCCCATGAGTCTTTCAAGTAGAGAAGGTCAGACATGTATAAGGCTGAACTAATTTCTTACACTGATTTCAGAGACTAAGCTTTGCCTTTGAGTCCCCAGAGGAATGGTCCAAAAGGCTAATCATATTAAAGCAGTTTAATCACAGGCACTTTATTTCCTTCTGTGTCACTAGACGTATATCAGCTCCCTTTTGAAGTGTCTGAAAGGAAGAAAAGAAACAAAATTTTTAAAATTGAACTGAGATTTCAGTTATTCAAGTCCTGTGATAAATATCTTTCACTATGTTACTCTCATACACTAAAACCTTCAGCAGCTTTCATTTTTCTCATTATTCCCTTGTGTATCAAATCTAAATCCCTCAGTTTGACTTTGAACTCACTGAACACTTTACCTTTTTAGTCTTACTTATTTCCAGTATCTACCTAGTTAAATAGTTTTTGTTGGTGTATTTATGTACCACTTGCAATCTCCTCTATGACCTCTCTCTCCTTTCAACATTTCTTATTTTTATCTTTTATTTCTTATTTTTTATTGTTATTATTAAGGTAAGGTACAGAGGGGTTACCATTTCATAAGTCAGGTAATGAGTGCATTTCTTTTGGG